ATAGGCAAATTCTGCTTGAGGTAACGCTAAATCCTACTGTTTCAGCTTAGTCCCTACCGAACACCTCAAAAGGTTTCCCAAACTCCGGTTCACAACCTCGGTCTGACCGTCTATCTGGGGGTGATAGGCGCTGCTAAAGTTCAGTTGTGTCCCCAGTTTCCCCTACAAACTCTTCCAGAAATGACTGATGAACTTGGTATCACGATCTGGTGTGATAGATCGAGGAACACCGTGTAAACGCACAATCTTCCGGAAATAAAGATGAGCAATCCGAGTAGCATCCATAGTCTTCCTGCAACCCACAAAATGGGCCATCTTCAAAAATCTGTCAACCATTTGGGAGGATTTCTGTGTAGCATGAAGAAGAAATTCACATATATTCCGTCTTTAACCCTCTTCCAATTGTTTTATCATTCAATAACAAATCCCGAACACCTGGATGAATTATAATTTTTTGAAAAAAGAAAAAAGTAATAAAAGCAATATGCCCTTTTTGCTGAAGAAGAATACTCCAACCAAGGAAATTCAGTTAACCAATTTTTTGTTAAAAAAAGCTTGAGTTTTTCCTACTATCCTTGGATACTCCTCAAGCTTTAGTTGATAAGGCCCAACTTTTAGATATGTGATTCTAATCTCATCTCATAAAATGACCGAATGTTCAAGCATTTATTTTCTTCTTTTCAAATTTTGTTTAATACTAGTACATTATTGCAATTCAAGTGTTGAGACTAACAGGTGTTCAATTTCTGAAGATGAAAATGGAGGATGTTGCACGGTAGGAATTGAAGGTTAATTTCGATCAATTCATCATGAAGTGTACTTTCACTAGATTTACATGTCTTTTTGAAAAATCGAAAACAATGGCTTTCCTCTCTTGACGACCTTCCATTTGTAAATTCTAAAATCAAAAAGAAAAAGAACAAGGAGATAAAGCAACAACGATCCAATAACGGAATGATAGGATAAAAATAATCAAACATTAAGCTAGCAATGCAACAAAAATACTAGTTGTTCTAATAAGCTGACAAAGCAAAATAATCCAATGTAAAAATAAGTGGACAATAATCCAACAATTAAAAATTAATATGCTGACAAGGCAACCATTTCAACAAATTTTATTTTAAAAAAATGATTATCAATAGAAAATTGATAATTGGTATATGCTAAGTGAATGTATCCCAAGATGCATAAAATTGAGTGTGAAATTCGAGCAACTAGAAATGAGCAACCAAGTTTGAAATCTATCCAAAAAAGTAGAGTAAAAGTTTTGTTAAATTAATTCACGAGTAAATCAATTAGGCAATAAGCAGTATATAAAAGAAAATATCATAAACATCAAAATTTAAATACGTACAATGGACTACGAAGACCAAAAATATAAAAAAAATGCATTAATACTTATTCGTTAAATTCTGTTACAAGCCCACCACCTCGTCCATCCATCTCATCTGCCACGTGTTAGATGAATTGAATTCATGTAGGATGAACTGATTCCATTACTCTGAACCAAAACACTATTGCCCAGTGGTTGGAAAGTTGAACTCACCCGCCATTCATGACGGGTGCAAAGGCCCGCACTCCGCACACAGTGTAGTTCACAATCCGCCTCGCCACACCCCTACCAAGATCTTTTAGATCTCCAAAGTCAAGTCCCTGACTGATTGATGGGACATGTGGCAGGCTGCAAACGGTCAACTCAGCTACCATGTCAGATAGTGATGGAAAAAAAATCAGTCCCGCCCCGACCCCGACGGGTTGGCGGGGCGGGGATTGCAACCCCTTCTCGGGCTGCGTGGGGTGCAGAATTAAAATTAATTAATTAACTAAAAATGTTTAATTTTGGACATTGTTTATTCCGAGTGCTTGTTTTGGAGATCGATGTAGTTAGTTTGAGCATTATTTGCATTAGATTTCAAAATTTTGAATTTTTATGTTACCTGGAAATTTTTGAAAAAAAAATGGGCATGAAACGGGCAAGGTCTGTGTCCTACATCCACCTCGCCCCGCCCCGCCCCTCCCCGTCGATCTAAGGCGGGGCGGGATGTGCCTCAGCCATCTCTAATGTTAGAGATCATTTAATGTCCACAACCTATGGATCGATGGATGGACGCCTATGAAAGGATGACTCATCCATGATCTGGAGCCACATGTCCCTTCATCAAACGGTTCACATCTCCCCTTCTTTAATATAAATACCCCCACACTAGTAAGAGTAAGGGGTTCCCATTCAAGCTTTGCCTTCTAGTCTTCAACTCTAAGAAGCTTTTCTCTATATTTACACACATTTTCAACCACATCCCGGTGACCACTTCACCGTCGGGCATCACTTTTCGATTGGTTAAAATACTGACTTGACTGTTGGAGTGCTCGCGGCCGCTTCCACCCCCACCGAAAAAGGCCACGAGTGACTAACGGCATGCCACCATACACGAGGAGCATACATGAATACTTATTATGATAGCCATGTGTAGAAACCATTTTTCGAGGTTAACAGATTGGCACCGTCTGTGGGAAGGTCACTATAACCAAGAGTATCCCCACGAAAGAAAATACTTATCAGAATATTTGGTTAATATTTCCCCTTGGAAACGGGATTTGTTCTTGAAAAAGAACAAGCTATAAACTATCTTCACCGTTTGGGAAAAGAAAATTGGCAACTCTGTTTCACATGACTCGTGAGCTATCTGCTGTGGTGTGAACATTTAGAAAATATTAGATTAAGCTTGGATCAATGTTATGGGCTTTATGGGGCAGGTCAGTTGGGAAAACAATATTAGTAGTTCTTTTCCCGGACTTTGTCATCAATTGACAAAAATAAAGATTGGCTGTAACCAACAAAAGGCATATTTCTAATTCGTGATGCCTGCTGAAAATTGAATATTGAGGCAGTTAGCTATGAAATGTTAGCTTATGACACAATTTTTATTAGTTTTCAGTAACATGCTACTGCAGTCAGTGCCATCTTACTTCTTAGAAGTGGTATTTACAATTTTAGAGACAATAATTACTTTTTGATTATATATTGTGCATATTTCTAATGCGTTTTCAAGATAACCAGAGTTCACCCATGTTCTGAAATTGTTAGAAGAAAAACTTGTAGTAAACAATTTTAAGTGTTAAGTAGGAACAAATGGACTGCAAGCAACAGTCTTGGCAATGATCACTTGGTCAAACTGGTTGACCCGTTTACTAGTAAATGTTGTCATTCTCCTCCCTCCATTTGCTCTTATCTTTAATTCGTTTGGACACCAGATGAACCAATAGCTGGTCAATCTCAGAGATATCATCGGCCGGCAAACATGAGGCCTTCTAATCCCATATCAGATCATTCTCTCATTCAGTGCACGTCCCTTTGTTTTTTCCCATAAAAAATCTCAACAGCAGCCATCTGAGAAATCACATCGAAAGTCATCAGCCTTGGCAGAGAAATATATGATTTGGAGTGTGGAGAAAAGAAGATTCATGGCGAGGGCAACATCCGACAAGGCCTTCAATTTTGATCAATCAAGAAATCCTCAGAAAAAGATTATGTGAGTCAGCCAGAAATTTTGGAATTTTCGATCCATAATTAAGTTTTCCTAAAAGGCTGTATAGAATTGGATAGATTAAATTAAGTTTTCCTAAAAGGCTGTATGGAATTGGATAGATTAACTCGTTGGTAAATCAAGGTACTTTTTTCTGATTTTCCACACACAGTTAAAAATGTCTGAGACAAGAAGAGCTGACAGTGTCACTGTTAAAATTGATAATATACTTGATAACTTGTCTTCTACACCTTCGAAGCCCTCAATGTTTAGAGTTGCTCACCATTTACGCAGCATAAATCCAGAGGCTTATGATCCACAAATAATAGCCATTGGCCCATTTCACCGCAGTAAACCTAACTTGCAGAAGATGGAGCAACACAAAGTCAGGTATCTAAAGCTGTTTCTTCAAAGAAGAAAAGAGTCAAGTGTAGAAAGATATGTTACCACAATAAGACACTTAGAAGACAGGGCGCGGAAATGTTATGCTGAAGACATCCAACTTGATGAAGATAAGTTCGTGCAAATGTTGATTCTTGATGGCTGTTTTATCGTCGAATTTCTCTATATGTATCAACACAGAAAATGTAGGGACAAAGATGACCCCATTTTCCAGTATGAACATATAAAAAGTCAATTGCTTCATGATCTAATGGTATTTGAGAATCAGATTCCATTTTTCATCATTGATCATTTGTTCAGAACGATCAAGATCAATAATGAAGACAACGTCAATTCTCTAATATGGCCTTTACTGCGAAATGGCATTTTCCCAGCGGAAGTAAAAGTGAGTGATCTTTTTGACGCCCCCATTAATGGTCACCATCTTCTTGGCATTGTACATCACTTCCAATGTTCTTCATTTGCAGATAGATTATCTTATAGGATATTACCTCATAGGGATCCTGAATATCTACATAATATAGATTCAGCTGCAGAGCTCGAGAAAGCAGGGATTTCCTTCCAAAAGTCAGAATCTGATAGTTTGTTTCATATTGAATTCGAAAATAAAGTTATGAAGATTCCAAAATGGAAAATTTCTTTTTCAACAGAATCATTGTTCCGAAACGTGATTGCATATGAGCACTACAACACAGACAGTCCTCGAAAATATGTGACAGACTATGTATTCTTCATGCATTGTCTCGTCCATTCCCCTGAAGATGCAAAAGTGTTGCAACGTTCTAGAATCATTATAAACTTTTTGAGGAGCAATGAAATGGTTTACCGTGTAATCAACCAGCTAGGCAAGAATATCATGACTTCTGTTCAGTTTCCATATTCTAATATTTTCTCCAGTGCAAATGATCATTGTGCGAGAAGAGGGAATAGATGGATGGCAACATTAAAGCAAGAATATTTCAACAATCCATGGACAACCAGTTCAGTCTTTGCTGCCATTGTGTTGCTTGTACTCACCATCATACAGGCTACGTTTGCTATTCTCTCATACCGTAAGTTATTTCCCAAGTCTTTTATTTTCTTAATTAATTATTTGCATATTTTAGCCTCCATTTGGCAAATTTCTAATGGCAGTGGGTTTCACAAAATATGTAGATATTAATGATTAATAATCATGAATGTGCCGTTAAAATTACTGTTTGACTTTGACTTTGAATTTATAAACCAATTTATAGATTGTATTGAAATGGAGGCTTAGTATAGAATGACTCATCAAGTAAGCTATTATGATTTGATCTTGGATTGTTTCCTTAAAAAGGAAGATTCTACCTTTCTTTGAAATGCATAAGTGATGCATTTGCCTTTTGACCGTCAAGTGAACTACTAAAAAAAATTTATATTTTATCCAGTTAAACAACTGTGTACATGTTATTGCAGGCAATGATCTCAAGAAGGGGAACTGATTCTAAGTATTTGAAGCTAGCAACAATGTATGGCAACTCAAATTACTATTAACTTCAAGGACGAGACAGAGCCTAAAATCTTGAATTATAATATATACGATGGCCTGTACAATGAATAAGATTCAGTCACCATTATGTCGTTCTAAAAACTAGTTCTTCGTGTTTCTTTTGTGAAAGTTTTTTTTATTGTGTAAATTTTTTTTTTTTTTTTTTTTTTTGTGTTAAATGTAATATTTTAATTAATTAAATGAAATTTTTATTTAGTTATGTCAGTAGTAATATAATTTATAATTAAATAATTTTTAAAATAAATTAATTATTGAGAATTTAAAAATAAGAAAATACTTGAAATACTTGGTGTAATGGATTGAAGACGACTTTATAATATAGTGTGAAAGTTGCACTAATTTGGTGACATGGAATGAAGATGGCCTTACTATCTCATCATTATCCAGGACTAGAAATTTTTTATTTATTGTTGATGATGTCTTTTAACAAACATAAAATGAAGGTCTTCAAACGTTAAATGTGGCCTTTTAAACAAATCAACTACATAGATGGATCAGAGCATAGTGGACTGCTAATTTTTCTCCAATCATGGCCCCGCGTGGTTGCTAAAATTTTTTAGTAGAACTTGTTGGAAGTTCGACTGAAATTAATTTAGGGTCCGTTTGATTGTAAGGGTGAAAAATTGGTGGAAAGAAAATGTTTTACGGGGAATTGATTTCCTAGAAAATGTTTTACTGGGAATTGTAATTAATTGTGTTTGATTGGTATAATTTTCCATGGAAAATATTGAAAGTTTGATGTCCATTTGACTTCGTTTTTTATGGAATTTGTCCATTAAAGTGATAATTTTTNATGAGGCATTTTGGGGTAAAACCCAAAAAGCAAATTTATGAGGGATTAGGCCCAAAGTGGACAATATCATACAAATGTGGAGATATGTGATGTCCATAGCCCAACAATGGCCTCACGTGGTTGCTAAAAATTTTTAGTGAAGTTGGATTGAAATTAATTTATATGTATTAAATAAAAAAGAATGATGGAAGATTTTAATTTTTTTTTTCTTTTGTTGGTAAAATCAGCCAATGAGAGAAGTCGAGGAGATTAAAAACCACAAGAAAAAGGGAAAAAAAAAAAAGAAGATATTTGTATTGTCATTGGACCTTGTTACGGGCCTCCATCTAGTCCATCCGGTCATCCGCCATGTATTGCGCTACTTAAATTATGCACGGCCATGTGGTGGACGAACTGAATTCTTACCAGACAAACTAAATTTGTACTGGATGAACTGAATTTGATGCCCCGAATCGAAACGCTTCTGCTCCCTCGTAGAAGAGCCGAACTCATCCGCCATACATGACGGATGCAAAGGCTAGCACTCCGCTACGTCCCACATTCACCTCCCCTAGCCTGCCAAGATCTTTTATGATATCTCTCCAAAGTCAAAGTTCTCAGACTAATTGATGGGACGTGTGGTAAGCTACAAACGGTCAACGCATGTTGCTATGTCAGAAATCATTTAACGTCTGCTAACCTATGGATTGACAGATTGACGCCTATGAAAGGATGACCCATATGGGATCCGAAGTTACATGTCCTCACATCCAACGGTTCTTCTCCTCCTTTCTCTAGTATATATATCCCCACACTATGGTAAGGGAGGAGTTCTCATTCTAATCTTTGCATTCTAATCTTTTCACTATATTTACACACATTCTCAACCACGTCTCGGTGACCACTCCTCTACCGGGCACCACTGTCCAGTTGACTGAAATACTGACTTGACCGTCGAAGTGCTCGCAACCGCTTCTACCCCCATCGAAAAAGGCCACGAGTAACTAACGGTGTATTACCATGCGCAGGGAGGTGCATACGTGAACACTTATTCTATTGGCCACGTGTCGGAGCCATTTTTCGAGGTCAACAGATTGGTGCGTAGGAACGTTACTGTAACCTCGAGTATCCCCACAAAAGAAAAAACTTATCGGACTATTTGATTGATATTTCCCCTTGACAAATGGTTGCTTGAAAAAAGAACAATTGGAAGCTATAAGCAAAGTTGCTGTAATTTGGGAGAAGAGAATTTGCAACTCCAAACTAATGAGTTCTAGCAACGAAGAAGTGAATCCGAAGAGAATAAGGAAGATCTCTGAAGAAGAGATCATCTGGAATAATGTCACACACCAGCAACCCCATTATCGATATCGCATGGGCGGAAGAACTGCTGCACGACAAATTGCCGAAGTGGCTAGCATGGCCACTAACATGAAGAACATTGCAACCCAAAACGCAGCCATGCAAGAACTCCCCATGCAAGTGCAAAATCAAGGCGGCTTCCAAGCCAAAATCCTCCACAATCGGTCCGAAATCGACGAGCTGAAGCGGAGTTGAGCAGGAGAACTCATTCAAGTCAACAAAGAGAGGCTCTGGTTGAAAGGGATGTGGGAATAGACACTTCCAACCACACTATCCCCCAGCTGATGACACCCAAGTGGGAGGACATAACTTCCCCCCGGATTATGAAGAGCGACCTCAGAGGTTTGCAAGTCTATTTGATCGGATCGGTCGAACGCCTAGAAATAGAGATCAGTCCACCCATCAAATAGTTCGCCCATAAGAGCACATGCAAAGCCAAGAAGCTCAGGCCCCTCCACCTAGAAATAGGCAAGAGAGGCGGAACTTGGTGGATTGGGGGAATCGAGGTAGAATGTCGCTACAGCCACCTCACCCTTTAGCAGATGGGAATGATTCTGACGAACCGCGTCGATCTTATGAGTTTGATGATGATGATGACAACCTCCACTTATCTGAGGAGCTTCGTAGCTTTCCCATGCCACAGAACTTTGTTCCCCCAAAATTCCCAATTATGAAGGAAAAGGTGACCCAGAGAAACACCTTAACAAGTACAAAACGCAAATGAGTCTTCGAGGCACTTCGGCTACTCTGAAATACAGGGCCTTTCACTTAACACTTAGAGGCACGACCGAAGTGTGGTACAATAGGTTGGCACCTCTTACCATCAAGAGCTGGCCAGATCTCAAGAAAGCATTTTTGAACCAATACTTGTCAAGAAAGGAAGGAGAAGCGCCAATCCAAGGCCTCCAGGATATGAGGCAAGTGGGGGAGAAAACTCTGAAAAGTTACGTCACCCGTTTTACTGATGAAATAACCTATTGTGAGCAAGTCATGGAAAAAGAAGCCCTCTCAGCTCTAAAATGAAGACTAAATATGAATACGTTATTTTGGAGAGATGTCCGAAGTAAAAAACCCCTCTACCTACGATGAACTGGTAGAAATCATGAAAGTTGAAATTGTCAATGAAGAGATTATTGATCATCGAAATAAGGCGGCACAAGGACTTTCTCCATCCCAAAGGCAGATCGGTAGAGGGCCCACCTCACAAATCATTAGCCAACAATGGACTCATGCTGGACATGTAGTCGATCCCACTTCGGGATAGGCGTTGGCTACAGCCACTTCAAATGTTGTATCAACATTGGCTTATGAAAACATTGGACCTGGTGGTAATAGTGCAGTTAGAAATCCTAGGAGACCCTCTACCTCTAGGAATAGAGGAAGAGGCGGTGGGCTAAGAAAGAGGCCCCAAGAGGAACCACGGCCCTATTGCACATTCCACTATTTTCATGGCCATGATACAAGTGAATGCCGGAAGACCACTAGGTCTGCAAGAAGCAACCCTTGTAGCACAAGGGAGAACCGGCATCCAGATGAAAGGGGCGAGATACGACGACATTCACCTCGGTATGATAAAAACGAGGATAGGGAGAGACCCAGGGACGGAAAGTGACTCAAGAGAGACCTAGCAGCCACAAATGAACATCAACCCATTCGAAAAATCGACACAATCATTGGGGGACTACACGTAGGAGGTGAGTCCAGAAATGCGCAAAGAAACTACACCAGAGAGGCCAAAGACCCGCCAATGGCCAACTATATAGTAAATCAATCCTAAAGGATGAGGTCTGTAGAGCCTATTACACACACTCGGGAAGATGAGGTGGGCGTGCACTATCCTCACTGCGATGCACTAGTGGTGAGAGTCGTGGTCGCTCGAAATGGATTAAAGCTCGTGCTAGTAGACAATGGGAGTTCAATCAATATCATATTTGATTCTGCTTATGATAAGATGGCGATAGACCATGAACTCATCCCTATACCTTCTTCCTTGTACGGGTTCACCAAAGATAGCATTATTCCAAGAGGAAGGATACCCTAGCTGTCGAAATGGAGACCCGGCCTCTAGTAGCACTCTACTTCATGGAGTTCTTGGTGGTTGATCACCGATCTGCATACCATGGAGCGCTAGGAAGGCCAGCATTGAAGAAGTATGGGATGTCACCTCCATCTATCACCTATGCATGAAATGCCACACTGAACAAAAAATAGTCACCGTCCGAGGTGATCATATGGGATCAAGGGAGTGTTACCTTAACTCCTTGAGAAAGACTGAGCTATGGGGAGTCAACATGGTACTCCTTGATACTGACATGTTCGAAGCCCGTGAAGAAAGGTAACCCCCTGCACAAGGGAAAGATGTCGAGATGGCAGAGTCTTTTGCAAAGGATCGACCTGAAAAGGTAGCCCTGGACGAATTGGATTCTCGAATTATTGAATCTGAATCATAAAACACTCCAATGAAAGAACTTGAAAGCTTTCCAGTGGATCCCCAAGACGCTTCTAAAGTTCTGCAAGTAGGAAAAGATTTGGAAGAGAAAACGAGGAAAAAACTAAAGACTTCTTCCACAAGAACTCAGACGTCTTTGCGTGGAAACACGAGGACATGATCGAAATAGACACAAATGTCAGTTGCCACCATTTGCGAATTTATCCAAGTCAAACTCCGCACAGGTAGAGGAGGAGAGCCCTAAACGCGGAGAGGTATGAGGCTCTGAAGGAATAAGTGGAAAAATTGATCGGCAATAGCTTCATCAGAGAGGCCACCTATCCGAAGTGGATATCCAATCCCGTATTGG